CTCTTTAAAGTAGAGACACTACATACTGATATACACCTGAACATCAGCTGGAGAGGACTCTTTAAAGTAGAGACACAACATACTGATATACATGATGAGCAGAATGTGTCCTGTTTAACGTCTGATTTTGAAATCAAATGATTAGATTAATATTTTAAATTGTATTGTAATTGGGTTTTTTGTAGGGGTAATCAAGGGGTGAAAAAGGAAGTACAGTTTTTTGGCTGTATGAGAAAAATAAAGAGCTTTTTGAACATTAAAGCATGGAGACATGTCAAAGTAGAGACACTAGATAGAAGATCATTTAAAAAAGGACGCAAGGGGAATGAAAAACAAAACAAAAAAGTATCCCGATGAAAATAAAATAAAATGCTGTTTTCTTGTCTCTAAAAGCACATGATTTAAATTGGAAATTAATTTACCAGGAAGTCAAACCACTTACGGCACACGCAGGACGGACTTCCCCTGTTATACTAGCCAAGTTATGCAAAACAAAACATTCACATTGCTCACAGCCGCTAACCAAACAACTGGGAAATAATTGAATGACACACAACCAAAGCTACATTCCCTTATCATATCAAAACAAGAGTAGGAGTTAAAAGAGTGATTTCTCACCTCCGTTGGTCCTCCACATCTCTCTGGCACACTGGTCCGAGGAGGTCAGCTCTGATATCTGGATGTTTGGATTTGATTTGTAGTCATCTGGAGGAAACAGAGTGAAAAACAGAGTCATGCCGGAAGAAAAGCAGCTTTTTAATCGTTTCAGGTGTGTTTTCATACGTCGTTTCAGAGGTATTTCTTTAGTAAAATTAGGCTGTCCCGAATACCATTTTTCGGGCTCCGGATATTCGGTAGCAATCAGCAGCGAATATTCGAGTATTCGGCCCGCGCAGGGGGTGGGGGGCGTAGTAATCATCAGCGAACCGCTTCAACACGTGTATTTTGGTGTGTTCACGGCATTCATTTTGTTATTCTACAGTATTGTTGTTTTATCGTTATTAACCCAATTTGTGTTCTTTGAAATTGAAAAGGATATCGCATTGTGTTTGTTACTTTCGTTGCAGTTGTATATGTCTTAAGTGTAATTTGGCTTGGCTTTCTATTTATGGACATGCTTTTATTTTAAAGGAGAGTTAGCGCTGTTGACAGGAAGTTTTTGTTGCTATGGAAACAACGTGACCGAGATTAATGGAGAAAAGTAATATCTACAAAACGGAGAAAGTAAACGATAACGTTTATGGTTAAGTGTTAGCACCCCCCGAACAAGCTCTTACGTTGATATTGGAGATTTCAATAAATTCAATTTGAAAAAAAAACGGGGAAAAAATTAAAAAACAAATAAAACGAATATCAGAATAACGAAATTCAAACCCGAATAGTACTCCAACCAACGAATATTCTGATATTCGAATATTCGGGTACAGCCCTAAAATAAGCCATCTCACTGTTGTTGCTGAATGAAAACGAGTCGCTCTCCCTCATGGTCTCGTTGCCGCTGTCCGACATCGTCCTCTCCCTCTTAGAGACGTTCGGCCTCCTCTTGCTGCTCTTTCTGGTGCTGATGCGGATGATTCCTCTCACCAATCTGCACTCTGCCTCCTGCTCTCCCATCTTATGTTCCTCTGCCAGAGAGTTGATGAGCTGGTTGATGGCTTTGCTCTTCCTCAGGAACACAGAGTCTGTTGTGCACCTGGCCAACTCCTCGATCTGATACTCAGAGTAAAGCTCCAGCAGCTTCTTTGTGATCAGAGAATCCACGTTCTCCTCTCCGTCCTCCCAGTCCAAAAACCTCATGGACTCGTGCAGCGACGCCTGTTTCTGACCACCGGTTGAAACCACAAACGACTGAGATCTATCTTCATCTAAATACTCTCTTGAAGTGTTGACTTTTACTCCAGCGAAGCAGACGTCGCCGAGCCAATCTCCTTCGTCGTCTTCTTCCTCCTCTTTGTCTACTCCTGCGTTTACAGATGGTAGGCTCACGTGCTCTGGTTCATCCGGGGATCTCTCCTTGATGCACGGAGATAAAATGGATCTCTGGCAGACTCGATACAGTCCACATGTTAAGACGCTGCACACAAAACTCCTGCAGCTGTTGGTCGGTACGCAGGGGTTGCAGGTTTGCGTCGCAGATGAAGGATCAGCCGAACCAGGGATGAAGCCGATGGTTTCTGATTCTTTCCCGTTAGAGTCCTTCAGGTGAGCTTTGTTCACTGTTCTGGGATCAGGGAGTCTGTTTTCCACCGGGTCCACGCAGCGCTCCTTGTACGATCTCACGCTGCTGCCGGTGGACATGACTGACGGCTTTCAAAGATCTGCAACAAGCAGTAGAGAAAATGAGGTCAAATTAGGTTAAAGGTCTCCTATTATACTATTTTTAGGCATATATTACAGGTCTCAGATATATAACAGTTTATAAAAAAACATGTGTATGAAGTGTTTTGCTCAAAATACCAAACAGATCATGCATTTCAGACATCCCTCTTATCCCTCCATTTCAGGTCTGTTACTAAAGTGCTGATTCTGGGTCAGTAGATTTTTTTAAAAAGAGGGGGCGGAGCTAATGCCTGATCAGAATTCTACCAGCAGAAACTCAGCTAAATGCTGCCGTGATGAAACACCATCCTGTTCAAAACCACATCAAAGATTATTTCTGAAACAGTATGGAGCTCAAACTCTTTTTCTCTCTCTCAGGCGAGTTCCTTTTTTTATTTCCTGCTTCTTCACACACACTCTCTCCAGTACAAGTTAGCGATGCTTGCTAATGTAAACACAGACCATATTACGTCCAAAACATGTCTCATTGTTTCTGATAGCAACGTTTCTGATTGGGCCGTGGGTGTAAAGCCCGCCCACATTTCAGATATTACGTCATATCAGACGCAAATCTGGATCAGCTCCGTTGTTCCCCGTTTTTAGAGATTTGGGTACGGAGGACAAGAGAGAGGGTTTTATTTTCTGACGCTGCGTGAGTTCCCCGACACACCGGGTACACATCTTTATGTATAAAAGACATCACAAAGTGCATTTTGATTGATAGGAAACCTTTAAAGTAAAGAGTAAACCAGTTTTGAAATAGCCTCAGTAAACTAGGGCATGGTTTAGTGATGCCACAATATACCAAAAATATTACCTTCAGAGAACTCTCAGCTCCAGTGTTCTTGAGTTGCTCTTTGTTTAACCAGTTGTTTCCTTCTCAATCACTAATTCACACATTTGTATTGTTTACAGGAGGTCCCTTGAGGATTTAAAACCGAAATTATTCTGCTAACTTATCATTTATTTGCGTTTATTTAGATTGTTGACTACTGATTGGAAAGTTCTCACCTTCTTTTTGTCATTTATTAATTATTAATACATTTTTCTTAATGACGTTTCCATTTTTTATCCTCAGTTAAAAAAGCTATGGTTTAGGTTTATTTGCACAATTAAACACAAACAAAGATAACACATGATATCCAGTGCAGCAAGAGGCATAAACCCATTGGGACTATTTGAAACCTCCACCTCAAACATGTAAAACAAATCACAATCTAATATAGAGCGCATTAAAGGTCCTTTGTTTACTTTCTCATAATCTGGCTTTTGTGTGCAAATAAAGGGAAACATGTTATCAAAGCTGCAGAGCCTTAAAGGTCCAATGACACGGCCATTTCTACTGATCATAATTCCATTGTTGAGGTCTACTAGAATAGATTTATATTGTTCAATGTTCCAAACT